GTCTGTTTACCCAGATCCGTTGCTGTGGATGTTCAGGGCACGGGCCATGAGGACAACTATCATTGGTCGGATTGCTTTGCCTTTGCCATCGAAGTAATAGTCGCATAGAAACTTTAACTCGTCTGTGGATACAAACAGCTCCTGTGTGGCAATAAAAAAAAAAAAAAGATCTTTTATTTCAGCCATAAAACAACTGGCACAAAGGACAGACATCTGCCACATGACAGTAAAATGGGACTTCTTTAGATAACGCTTAGACGGGTCACTTGTTGTCAGTGCAGCTCCAACACGACAAACAAAATTCACTTTGTATCAAGGAGGTAGATAAACTCTTATTGATTTTCTTTCCACACTTAGCTTTCATGTTTAGACAAATACAGCAATCACACTCTGTATTGAAGATTCACCTTTTTGATGTCATCATATAGACTCGTCATGTCTTTCTGGGCTAACGTGAAGGGATCCTTCAGCTTTGCATCGCTATGTGTTGTTCTGCAACAGCAGGGTTGCCGCGTGGGATACAGAAACCGTGATTTTTGTCTGTAAAGAGAAAGATGCACAAACGTTGTCCGTCACATACGCTGCCAGGATTGTATCTTAAACAATGCACTCTTTGTTGACACCCTTATCACAAAATACACAGTAAAAGATGAGGATGTAGCTGTGCAAAGCTTTGTTGAAACACATCACAACTCACCTGATTAGAGAAGAATTGTAAGTTAGTGTTTTCAGGTGTATCTGTGTCGTGGATGGTGGTTGCCCCTGAACGTCAAAAGACAATAATATATATATAACATGACATAAGATAAAGTTCAGGCAACAGAAGATGAACAGCAAAGTCGGACTAAAATCGTGCAACTTATTCTTTTGTCTATCCATTCAGGGATTGTAGGGTGGTTTAGTAACCTGGAGCTACTCATGTGTTGTTACCATTCTCACTCAATGCATAGAACACAGCTTTTACATATAACTGGTATTATCATCATCTGCACATTTTCAGTTATTTAGACTACAAACTGTGAGATTTTGCACATTGCCAGGAAAATAAATTGCACAGTCTTGCAGAATCTGTGCACATAAATAACATTATTAATAATATCTTTATTACTTTACACGATTGCTTTCCATTTCAGCACTTTAACCCTTCTTTAAATGTCTTACTTAACTTACAGCAAGTCAAATTCCAGGTATATGAAAATTTTATGGCAATACAGTAAATTCTGGCTCATCGAGAAAGCAATAGGTTGAATAATCGATCACTAAAAGAATTGTTATTTGCAGCCAAACGTTGAAATACACAGACACAAAGATCCTTATGTTAGTGTTTGACTTGCAGAGAGAATAAGCAAACAGCTGCCTAGTTTATTACAGCTTATAAACACACACTTGAAAGACATCAGAGATCTAACTTTCGGTGTAAAATATTTCAAGGGTGTGCATTCTGTAGAGTTTCTAAACCCCTGCTTGAAGCCTGATGTCTCATCTTCTAGACTGAAACAGTTCTGCTGTGGAAGTCTGGGTGGGTCAATGTCAAATGAATCAATGAGGTGCATAAAGAGCTCTAAATGTATAGGAAGCTGGTTAAAATTAGACAGACAGCTGGTCAAGTCAGAGGCAGATTAGTGAAGGTGTCCTGTCATGTCAGGAGCAGGTCTTGACCTTTATGCTTGGAGCTCTAGAGAAGCCAACACGCCCTGCAACAAGTCATTCATTCACTACAGGCAGTGGGACTAAACGCAGGAACCTCCAGCTACAGACTAAACTCACTAAAGTCACACAGCTACACAATGTCCCAAACGCTGCAGGAAAGCAGCAGCGAGCTCAGGCTTTTACGACTCAGTTTCTCGGAGCTGGCAGCTCGGCGGTGTGTATGACCTTCCAGGGGTTTCGCAGCGCTTCCGCCCAGCGGTGCTCACCTCGTTTAACGGCCCGGAGCTCCAGCACGCCCGGCCCAGGGAGGACGACGACCTGCCGTCCGCGTACCACAAGGTTTCAAACAAACTCACGGTCGTACGGTTTGTACTCCACCTCCGGCACTGCCTCCACCACGGACCCGCCATGTTTCTCCGAAGCGTGCATCGGAAGTGCCTTAAATACGGTGCACGGCCGGGGCCGGTTACACAACGGAACCGGAATATAGTAACCGGGCGGCGGATGATGACGATGTGCAACAAGGAAGTAGCGTTAGCGGCTGAGGGAGGGAAGCTGACAGAGGCATGAGCGAGTTAATTTTACAACTGAGCCTTTATGTAAGATGTAATAGTATACGTTGTTAGGTTCTCTTTAAACTAAAAGCAATGAAGTATGTGTGTGTCTCCAGGAAATAGACTAGAAAATGGGACGAGGCTAGTTGCTGGGTTGCTAACGGCTAAGCTAGCTTCTGCTAGTTCCAAAACAACTCTTGTCATCTGGGATGCTACAGTTAATAAAGTAACCTACTCGACATTAACTAGTCTCTTTCTATAACTGAATGTTACGCCGTGCTGTTTACGCATGAATGTGAGGTTAAGGTGATACAAAATAATGCGAAACGTTGTGTAAAGGAGCGTTGGCGTATTTGAAATGGATCATTTGTTTACATTGGTGGTAGTTTAATTGTTTTAGTGCGACTTTAAGCTTGATTTTTACCATTTTGTGCTAAATCAGAAATAGTGCACTTCTAACTATACACTTAGGGACAGTTTTGTTTCATACTCTACAAGTTCAAATGTTATAGGAAGCAAAATACACAAAAAACACAACTAAGTAACAAGTCAGCAAACAGTAATAAACACGTTGTTCCACAATAAATGGCTGCAAAAAATAAAGGTCTGCTTTCATGTTTATGCATAAATAAGGATATTTTAGTATCATATAAGTACAATGTTTAATGTATATTTTGCACATACATTTTTTGTGCTATTATTGACATACAGTGGTAAAAGCATGACTTGCAACTAAGATTATTTTAGTAGCATGTTTTAAAACAACTTGTGTTGATGTCCGGAAAACAGGATAAAACTTATCAAATCAATAAATAGAAAATACTGGGAAAAAAAACAAGACAAGCAGGACAATTTGTAAGATAAGATTTTAAAATGAATATACAATACTAAAATATTAAGATCACCAAGAACAACTAAGATCCTTTTAAACCATGAATGTCTTGAGATTTTAACTGTCGATGGAGAAGGAACATTTGATTGAAGGAAGGCACAAAAGCTGTGTTTACTGACTGATTTTACCGACTGACCTACTTCTTCCACTAATGCTGTTTACCTTCTAATGCCGAGCAGCTGGAAGTCATACTTTACCCTTTTCTTTGTAGCTACATCATTGCCTACAGAGTGGGCACATTGGAGGGATCTGCTCTGTCTGCTGAAAATGTGGGGCATCTACAGAGCGTTGGTCTTTGCTCTGGTAGCAGCATCGAGCTTCACACCTGTGCGTGTCCTGGAATTCTGCCAAAGCACTGATCCAGACTGTCACAGTCATGACACGGCATCAGACGTCCAACCGTCCCCAGAAGCTGTCAAGTCCAGGTGGAGCAGGAATGTTTCAAACGTCATACACGACCTGGACGAGTTTAAAGTGTCTTGCAAGAAGCTAATGGGTAAAGCAGATTCTTGTTTTTGCACTTCAGCATGGAGAGAACAGCTATGATATCACTGTTCAATCCGTTCTGCAGAAGCATTCCCCCTCGATGAGGTTGATGGCAACTTTGTTCGCACTGTGAAGAACTGCCTGTTTTCCAAATCCTTCCCAACGCCGCTGAAAGGCCCATTAAGACTGGCTGCAGTTTCTAAGGTGATGACGGAATATCATTGTCAAAATTGCAAGTTTCACCACTACAAATTCATTTACATCTGAATTTTTCTCAACAGGATGTCATCGAGGGGATCTTAGATTTGGATATGGCTTTAACACAGTCAGATGATTTCCTGCAGTATGTAAGCGGTGGCAAACTGCTACCAGGGTCTGAACCACTTGCTCACAGATATGGAGGTCATCAGGTAAAGAGGAGTTGCGTTTATGTTTCATTCTTGCTGCCTTACATTTATTCTACACAAACCTTTAGCTCAAATACATTTTTAAAAATGCGCCCTATATGTAAAACATGTCCTTTGCTAGTTTGCTGTTTTGGATCAGGGATAAAGTTTAGCTCCAAACAATATCTCACCACACGAGGACTTGATTTGGGAAGATTGTTTAACAAAATCGAGGAAATTTTGTCATCTCGGCTGTTTGTTTACAAACCAAAGTTAAATGTGACCACAGATTTTCTAATGACCTTGTTTTTCTCTCTTCTTCTTCTACAGTTTGGCTACTGGGCAGGTCAGCTGGGTGATGGTCGAGCACATTTCCTTGGTCAGTATTCAAACAGGTGAGAGCAGCTTTTTTTAAACCGAGTTTCATAGCACTGGTATTTAAGGTGCATTTCCAGTTTTGTTTTTTGTCTTTACATATTCTCATTATATGCTGTAATGTTCCAATTGATAGGAAGGGGGAAATATGGGAACTGCAGCTTAAGGGCTCTGGGAAAACGCCATATTCAAGGTATGTTACTTTTCATGTATACGTACTGTATATACACGCACATACATACATACATACATCAAAGTCAGTATATTTTTGATATAAGATAGATAATACTGGAATATTTTGTTTTTATTGATTGGTTTTTAATAGACAGTGGTGGAAAGTAACTGCATACTGCTTAGCATACCAAAGTACATCTTAGAGATACTTGCACTTTACTTTTAATTTTATGCTATGTTATATCTCCACTCCACTACATTTCCGAGCAAAATGTTGTAGTTTCTACTCCACTGCATTTATTTGACAGCTTTAGTAACTTGTAAGGCTAAGATATTATAACAAGACTTTAAAAGACAGCACATTGTTAAGATTAAACACAAAGTTTCCAGCCTTCTTTGGCTCCCTCCAAATAAAAGTGTGTAGTCTGGGCCACATTTTAGACGTCTGTGAATTGTTTATAGTTTGACCAGAAAGTGCTCACATAGTTTAATTTCAATATATGTTCAAATGAGCCAATATCTCACCAAACATCAAAGATTAGAGAAAAAGTCCACAAACTAAAAACAGATTTTTGTATCAGAACTAATAATGAAACAGTCAGAGGGACTTATCCAGTACTTTTACTGAAATACTGCATTTAAACTGCTGCTTTTACAGACTTTGCTTAAGTAGCACTTGAGCAAAGGATGTGAATACTTCTTTCACCACTGTGAATATGAATTGTGCAACCAACTTATGGAACCGAAACAGCGTTGCTCTGCATCTCACCACAGGTCAGGAGATGGTCGAGCTGTAATCCGCTCTTCTGTCAGGGAGTTCCTGTGCAGTGAGGCAATGCATTTCCTGGGTGTTCCCACCAGCAGGGCTGCCAGGTGAGAATGACGCTGAAGAGTAAAAGGCAAGAAACGATCTAAATACCCGGTTTCATTTTTATGGATTTCAACAGATTTTAATAGCAAATTGTGAAATGTAATTTGACCTTAATATTTATTACATGATCACTAGTATTTAAGCTACTTTCACAATGATGCACTGCTAATTAATGAGCAATATACCGTCAGCTAGATCATGCCAGCATGCAGCATGCAGTAGATTAAGGCTAAAAGAAAAAGAAGCACTGACACGACTGGTTAAGTTCTAGTGAGGAACACTATACTGCTGCAGCACGTCTTGGTAGGGTGAGGGGGAGTAATCACAATGAAAAGAATATAATGCAAACAAATAAATGAAATAACGGCTGGCCTAAATGGAGTCACTGCCTTTCATAGCATGGAAGACCGAGGTTGTCCGAGTATTTCTGTACATCCAGGTTATTTAGTCCCTCACTGCAGTGAAGACATGCCACTGACACTTGGCAAAAATGCCGAAAATGTAATATTTTTCTACTATTAAACGTGTCGTTCTTGTGCTTTAAAGTTGTGAAGCAGTATGCTGCATGTCTCATAAAATTTATTTTCAAAAGTTTTCATCATGCGAAAGGTGTCCAGACCGAAGGGGTTCATGTCTATCATTTTGCAGGAGAAAGGTTGACGTTCTTCTGACCTACTGATTGTCATGTGTTTCATGTTATTGATGAGATAATTTGCTTTGTTTCAGTCTCATTGTAAGCGAGGAGCCGGTGGTGAGGGATCAGTTCTACAACGGAAATATGAAAACAGAGAGAGGTACAGTGAATTCATGTAATAATGCTTCTATTTTAAACTTTTAATGTTAAATTGCATGCTGGACATGGTCATTTTCTCACATAATGATTTCTAAACCTTTCTTGCTTTTCTACCACAGGAGCTGTTGTTCTCCGACTGGCCAAGTCATGGTTTCGGATCGGATCATTAGAAATTTTGGCTCAAAGCGGAGAAATAGATCTTCTCAGGTGAGAGTGGCCACATGATCAAGTTTCTTTCATATTCAACCCTTTCTTCTCATTCTGTGGTCTCCTATTGTGTAAAGTATACTGCAGCGAGTAGCATCATTTTATTGTTTTGTTAATTTTTAGAACGCTGCTGAACTTCATCATTGGTGAACATTTTTCCCACATCAGTTCGAGTGACCCAGATAAATATTTGGTGAGTCAAACATTTTTGTGTTAAAGTGTTGAAAACAACTTCTTAAAAGTGAAGGACTAATTGAGGACTTGTTTGTATCTGTAGGTGTTTTATTCCACAGTCGTAAATGAAACCGCACATCTGATCGCCCAGTGGATGTCAGTCGGGTTTGCACACGGTGAGAAGCTGCTCTGGTTGCAACTTTTATCACACAGTATCACACTGACATTCTACTGATATCGACCGCTGTGTTATCACAACAGGAGTTTGCAACACAGACAACTTCAGCCTTCTTTCTATCACCATCGACTACGGACCGTTCGGCTTCATGGAGCCGTATGACCCCAGTGTGTACAGTGTTGCACGGCTCTGCTTCTCTGATACATACAAATGTACTGTTTTTGTCAAAGGTCACACAAAGCTTTAATGTTGCAGATTTTGTCCCGAACACGTCTGATGATGAGGGCAGATACAGCGTAGGAGCTCAGGCCCAAGTCGGCATGTTCAACCTGGAGAAGCTCCTGGCGGCTCTGAGTCCTGTTCTTACAGTAAAACAACAGAAACAGTAAGAATACCAAGACATCTGTTGTGTTAAAGAAACTTTACATAATAAATTATCTTTGTTACCAGAAGAAACTGCAAGAACTTTGCTCTAAGTTTGTACACTAAGCCCTTGTACGTAAGTAACCTTGAATCAGAAGGCAATTAGTTTTTGTTTTGAAGATTTGAGAACAGGGAGGAAGCAGCTGCAAAGGAAGTTTTGAGCCAAAAAAATGCTGTTCGGAAACTTTATCAGACCACAGTTGATACCATACACTTTATCTTCATGTGAAAAAATCTTCATGTGGATGCCTGTGCAAGGGATTTAAAAAAGATCTCCAAATTGTCCAAAGCAGAACATTTAAAGCAAAAAGAAATATCTGAGAACCTCCAAATTTCATCAGGATCTGCAGGTAACTCTGCAGCTCTTGGTGTCAAAGTGTAATCAGGGGGAGATTGTATAAATTTAACTTGTACGGGAGGCGCGCCAGGAAAAAACCATTGCTCTCCAAAAAAAACATTAAAGCAAAACTACCGTTTGCCAGTAAGTGAACAGGCAAAGGTCAGGAGTTTTGGAATAATGTTCTCTGGACAGATGAATCAAAGATAAACTTGTTTAGTCTCAGTAACTGTAGATATTTCTGGCAAAAACAGCTTTTCAGGAGAAGAACCTCACAGCAGCTGTGGTGGTGGAAATGTTATGGTTTCTCAGGGACTGGGCAGCTTGCAGTCATTGATTCAACTATGAGCTCTGCATCCTATCAAAGAGCGCTTAGAGAAAGTTGAAGCTGAACTAGAAGTGGACCTTTTAATGAGCATAATAAGCACACTAGCAAAACCACCAAGCAATGGTTCACGAAGAAGAAATGGAGGGTTAAGAAACTAAAAAAGTAAAAGCCCAGATTGGAATCTAACTGAACTGATGTGATTTGAAGCAGGCAAGAAAAACTTCAAGCTTCTGGCAGCTAAAAGGAAATTTCCATGGAAGAGGGTCAGAAATGTTATCAAGCTGACTTATAAGAAGTTAATTCTGCTAAAGTGGACGGTACTAGCATACTTTTACTCCACAAATAATATTACTTCTATTTATATATTTGTTGAATAAACTGTTGAAAAAGCTAATATAGAAAAAGCTGGTTAGTATTACAGATAATCAGATGTTTGTGTTTGTCAAAAATGTCACAGATGACTTTGTGATCATTTTGTGCTTCGTTATGTTGCCACATTAAAGTGTAATTGTTAATCTTCCTCCTCTTGTTTTATTTCTTCAGGGCTAAAATTATTCTAAAAGGATATGCTGATCTTTACCATATGAGGTGAGCTCCACGTGAAATGTTCATCTTTTTTTTCCTCTGTGTTCACCTTCATCCTTCATCCATGTTATTTCCTGATTTAAATTCTGCATCCATGTCAGGATTCACCAGATATTTAAAGCCAAACTGGGGCTTCTTGGTGAAGACGAGGACGACAGCGACCTTATTGCCTTCCTACTTAAGGCGAGTCATTATTTGTGGGGTGCAGTTCATTTTAAATTAGTTTTTGCTCCCATTATAATTTGCATTTGTCTTCCCAGATGATGGAGGACACACGGGCAGACTTCACCATGACCTTCAGGCAGCTCAGCGAAGTTTCGGCTGAGCAGCTCCACGACATGAACTTCACACAGGTGGAGGTAAAGTGGCAATGTGTTACATGTTTCTAGATGTTTTTTGTGACATGTATGACTTCTTTATTATCTTCTATCAGTACCAAGGACACGTTTCAGTGGTGTATTTGCATTTGCATCTAAAAGAGACGATGAATAAATGTGTTCCATTATTATAGCATTAATCCATAAGCAAAATTATGCAGAAGTATCGTATCTACTCAGAGCTTTAATTTGGAGGCATTCGTTTCATGATTGTATTTATTTTTATTCGTTTTACATTAGATGTGGGCTCTTGATGACCTGTCCACCCACGAGCACTTCTCTGATTGGCTCAACATGTACCTACTGCGACTCAGTAGGTAGGAACAAAAACAGATTTAATCTACAAATCAGTTTCAAGTTGCTCTGTAAAGTTCACATAAGGTCTTTTTCTGTGCTTGAAAATGCTCGATATGATCTATTTGTTTGTAAAAATGGATGTTTGGTAATGTAATCAAAAGGTCTTTTTCCATTCAGACAGCAGAATGATACCGATTTGGATCGTCAACAAAGGATGACAAGTAAGCCAGTAAATCTTCATTCTAAAAGATGTAAATATTTGGATGTTGAGAGAAACATAAAAAAACCTTCCTCTGATTGCATTCAATGTCTTACAGATGTAAATCCGAGATATGTGCTGAGGAACTGGATGGCGGAGGCAGCTATAAGGAAAGCTGAGATGAACGATTTTTCAGAGGTAAACGGCTGCTCTTGTTATCCAAAACCAGACAAAAGCAGGAGAAGTTGTTGGATTGGTTTTCCTCCTACTGTAATTTGTTTGTCGCACACAAGGTGGAGCTGCTGCACCACATCCTGTCCTCTCCCTTTGTTACACAAGAGACTGCAGAGGAGGCGGGCTATGCAGCAAGACCTCCACTGTGGGCCAAGAGGCTAAAGGTCAGCTGTTCTTCATGAGTGACATCTGAATATATGAAAAAAAGAAAGATTACAACTTACCTGCAGCATATTTTGGGATAACCTGTCACGTTTGTGGAATATATTTGGTCTACAAGGTTGTGGCTGTTCTTTTCTCTAAGAGCAACCGTTGTGTGCACATAGAAACATCAGTGTTGCAGAAGAATGAAGCTCAAGCTGGGTTTTACTCGTCGTGTTGTTTCTTCAATCTGCACTGATCAGCCACAGCATTTAAACTACTGACAGATCATTGATCATCTTGTAAGAATGCAGTGTTCTGCTGGGAACCCTTGAGTCCTGCCACTACCAATATAGACACTGTTGAGGCCAAGCACTCCCCAATTCCAGACAGCTTCCGGCTATGCTGCAGAAATGACTCGGGAACAGCTCAAGCAACATGGCAAAGGTCATGACAAGCTCCATCCACAGAGCTGCCACACCACAACCCACAGGACCTAAAGGATCCACTGCCAACGTCTCTGTGCCAGACAACACAGGACACTCAGAGGTCCAACGTCCCTGCTACAAAGGGTCAGCTGTTTTGGCAGCATTACGGTGACCTACACAATGTTAGGTTTTAATGTTGTGGCTGACTGGTGCAGGTTTACACATTCAGTAAATGGACATATGGGCCCGTCATTTTGTAATTTCTTAAGATTTCTATGGAGCTATATAGATTTGTTAAGAAATTTAATACAGGATGAGGATGTTTCTTTTAGGTAGATGTACTGAAATCATTGTCTTCTTTATGTATTTGAATTGTTTTCTTTTACTGAATAAATAAATGAAGAACTATGTCACACACCATGTGTTTCTTAGCAGCCAGCAGCAGGTTTTGTTCACTGATAGGAAGAACCCATCAATATGAAATAACGCCCGGTTCATTCATTTCTTATGCCACCAGGATTTTAAAGAGTTTATTTTGGACTTTTTACTGAAGTAACATTCATCCAAAACACTAACTGGGTACACTGTATGTTCCCTGGAGACAGAGGAATGTGTTTTTACAGTATTTACAGCCCTCCATGCAAACATATGTACAAGTCTATATAAAAGTGTCTCTTGGAAGTATGAGGACAGCTTTCAGATTTTAATGTAGCATCAAAACAACAAAAAAAAGAAAATCTTTTTATCCCGACAAATATGACATCATGTTTTCTAAAAGCAAATTGTGACACCAGTTTTTAAACTCTGTACAAAACTGGTGTTATGTATAACATTTCTGTCTTCTGGTTTGTAAAATATGGATACACTGATGAATGTCTTTAAAGATAAAATCTCCACTTGCTTTTTCTTACAGAAAAGGCTGATTAAGTTCTCATTATATTTATAATCCACATATTGATGATTGACTATTGATCCGGACGCTTTTTCTGCATGGCGCGCATCAGTTCTGACATGAAGTCTCCACCTCCTCCTCCTCCACCTCCACCACCTCCACCTCCTCCGTGCAGCGCTGGTGTAGTCCTCTTTGGTGGAGCAGGAGGAACCTTCTTCAGGGACCCCGCGGGCCGCACGGCTATTCGTGGGGTGGCTGCGGGTCCAGGGGGTGGAGGTGGTGGTGGAGGTGGAGGCGGGGGTGCCCCAGCTCCTGTGAACGCTGGCTGAGACGGAGGTGGTGGTGGTGGTAAAAACCCTGGATCTGGTGGCGGAGGAGGAAGGTCCATGCCCCCGAAACTAGCCGCTGGAGGCGGCGGTGGTAGAGAGTTCACCATCGATGGTGGTGGAGGAGGCAGTGAACCGAAGCCGGCGGCTGGAGGAGGAGGTGGGAGGAAGTCTGGCGGGGCCTCAAGGGAGTCGTCCATGGGCGGGGGCGGTGGTGGAGGGGGGAGGTTGTCCATTGCAGATGGAGGTGGAGGGAAGTTGCTCGGCAGTTGTCGCTTGAAGGAGCTCTTGGCAGCCAAAGGAGGCGGTGGAGGAGGGAGGGTGGGGTCTGGAGGAGGTGGAGGAAGGATGTCACCCAGTGGAGGAGGAGGTGGAGGTGGGACGTTTCCAAAGTCCTGCAAGATAGAATGCAATATAAAGATCAATCTCAGGGGGCATTATGGGAAATGTAGGATCTACGGTGAGGCTAAAAGTTTGGATATCTTGGCTTCTGCTGCTTCAGTTTCAACCCTTTGAGAACCTAAATTTTATGGAAGCATAATATTAGATTGCTAGAACTTACTTTAAGTAATTTATCAAGTAAACATGGCAACCATTCAGTGGTTCTAGTGTCTAAAACTGTGCCAACTCTTTACGTTATGAATCAGTAATTTCCTGATAGATTCCTGGAAAAGTCCTTTGGTTTCAATTATAATGAAGATAAAGAGAAATAATGTATAGTTGGCTATATTTTTTCAGAAAAACTAAAGCATAGAGTAGTTTTAATCTTAAATATCCTTATTTTTATGTTTCACATTGTTGCAGGTGTTTGGTTGGAAATGCACCAATTAAGCAGTTCCTCTATTTTTACTGTAGTTACCAGCAGGGAAAGAAGTATTTACATCCTTAACTTGAGAACAAGTAAAAGTCCTGCAGTCAAAATCTCACCTAACTACAAAAGTATGAGCATCAAAATATGTTTAAACATCTAAAGTAAATGTTCTCATTATGCAGGATGGCATGTATATGATATTTTTGGATTATAATGATTAACTCATTAATGTGTATCACTTCAATGTTGCAGCTGAAGTTAATTTGAATTACTTCATGTACTGCTGGGTAACTTAATCCACAATCAAGATTCATTTGATCTTTTACAATAATAATGTGAATCTGCAAAATAAGTGCTTTAAGATAAATGTAGCTGAGCACACAGCAGAAGCAGGAAGTAGCACAACATGGACGTACATTAGTAAAGTACACCAAAACTCATACTTGAGTAAATATACTTAGTTACATTCCATCACTGGCAGTAACTATTCCATTATTTTTAGAAACTGTTCTCTGACCTTTGCAGGAAACTGAGGGAAAATACAGAACCCTGAAAGTAAAGTGCTGACTAAACAGTCTTAGAAACTTTGGTAGCAATTTCTGATAGACTGAGCAACCAAAGAATGTAAGCTGCAGCCGTAATGAAGAGTTGTTTACCTGAGAAACGGGTCCCGGTTGGGGCTTTGGAGCATGACCGTTGGCCTGGCTCGGTGATTTAGCTAGAAGAAAAGGAAGGAGAGAAACATCCGAGTTAACTTTCTGTACAAGGGAACCGTTTGTACTAATATCTGGCTTGTTTCAGATCAATGAAACACTCAGTGAAGGGCAGATTGCGTGTCGTGCTACCTTTGATGGTGGGTGAGGGCGTTGATGGATTGGAGCTCGATGGAGTGCTGCGGTTCGTCCACACCGCGCTCACAGCCGCCTTCTTCTCTGCTGTTTTAAAGTTTTCATACAGCGAAGCGCCGTACTGGAAGCACACGAAACAACACAGAGCTTGTTTTTACATCTTCTGGTTTAGTGAATGTTGTGTTTTATTATTATAAGTAGATTTTTTTGTACCTTTGCGATGCGTATTCCGGTCACCCAAAGGTTCATGCTCCAAGCGTCATCACTGCACAGGTACTTGATGTACTGAGACTCTTTCTGGATCTGAGGATGCTGCAGAGACAAATGCAAATATAATGGTTGCATAAGAGAATGTTGTATACTTTTAAACCGCAAATATTAGAGAATTGATAACTGATTTCGCATTTAAGCCATTTTTTTCTAACAGTTTCTCATTTCTGTGTTAGATTTACTGCTGTTTGGCAGTTTTATATAAGGAAACTGAATGTCTGTTGGTCAAAAGACGTGAAGAAATCATCTTGGGCTTGATATTTATTATACTAATCTCACAATGACTGAAAAAGTAACTGGAAGATTAATTCATAATAAAAATATCTAATACTTATTTACCCTAAAAAATACAACATGGGGCTGACACCAAACTATTATGATGACCAAAAGAATTCACAACAACATTTTTATTGTGATATCTTATCAGTCAGTTGATCTGTAACTTTGTTTATTGTGCGTTTCATCTATTTGTTAGCTAATTAATTACACTCATGTTCAGGGAGGTGGACAGAGACTCTGTAACTGTTCTGTATGTTTTTCCCACGTTGGAGCACCAACCAGGAAGCTACCGGTGCTGGATTGTCTACGATATTATCATATTTGTATCGTTAGTATGATATCGATCTTTCATTTTTTAATTATTTCAGTTACCGTCAACACCAATACTGGATATTGTAACACACTGAGGATGAGGGAATATGTTCAAACTTGAGTTCAGGAGATGTATTTTAAGTTACATATTAACCTATTTTCCACATTTCCACAGAACATTTTAATTCAATCATAAGAAAAACCTTAGAATCTGTCAATAAACGTGCAGAACGCCATTTTTAGGGCAACAACTGATTAAATACGATGCACTGTGACCTCATTCTTTCCTCACCTCCTTGTTGACCTTTTCATTTCATTAAGTTCAGAGCAAACTAAAACCTCTCTGAAAGCCTTAATCAATTCAATAATTAGGATTATTTGCAGTTTACCATTAGACGCTTTGGTATTTTCAGGGTATCAAAGAGAGCCACAAGGGGGCAGAGTGAGTCTGGAAGCAGAAAGTTAAAGGGCAGCACCAGTTAAACAGTATTTGTAGACTGGCCAGCCGCTTTATTAGCTACACCTGTGAAACTGAATGCAATCCACCACAACAGCTTCCTATAAAGGCTGCTTTTACGAAGCGTCTCCACTGTTTTTTTGTTGATGTCGTAACGGTGATGATTTTACTTTATTGTAGAGGTCACAGTGGGTGCTGGTGGTGCACTGAACTGCATTTAATATTGTGTTTCCTCTCATGTATGGCGAAGGGTTGGACAAAATATCGTGAGCTTTTGCAGAAAAAAGGAACAAAAACCAACGAGCAGATCATAGCGTGTCCTCAAATGCATCCTGTAAATCCAGCAAAACATGAAACAAACGACAAGATTGATGCTTGGATGTTTTTTTTTTTTTGCTTTTGCTTTCATGTGTCACCACAAGAATATTTGCTGTACGATGCAAACAGCGACATTAATCCTCCAGTCAGTTGTTTCCTTCCCCCCCTGAAGAGGAAGCTGGATTTCCCTGTAATGGCAGGATATTAGCTAAACTAGCCCTGGTTATATATAATGGGGAGGGTATTTATGATCACCCCTGGCAGCGCCTCTGAATATTTAACAGCAGAATGATGAGGCTAAATTGTTTTTTGCTGTCGTCCTTGAATTGCTGCAGTTTCTGGCAGCTCGTAAACATCGCCCCGCCGATCTGTCAAAACACACCCTAATTTAACACTTATGCGGCTGAAATCTGCTTCGGTTATTATTGTATAAACTTCGTATCAAGTGAAGAAGCTTCTGCCAAGTTTTTTTTTTGTATGTTTCTTCAATAACAGCAGACAAGAATCCAGGTGAATCCAGGCTGTCCACTCTGGCAGGCCACTTCCCTTCACCCCTTGCAGAGGCTCCTTATTCCCTTCAAGCCTTGAGGATTCTGTCTTTTACCTGAAGGTAATTCAGTTTCTTTGCTTCTCTAAGCTCTTTTTGCTCTGCTCCTCAACATCTAGTCTAATGGTCTCTGCTGATTCTAGTGTTTCCTGGACGAGATAGGGGAAAAGAGAAAGAAAGCAGACTTTCACATCCCTTTAAGAGTGACCACTAACCCATCTAATTCTTGCTTTTCTTTCTCGTCAGCGTTTCTCGGCCTTAAATGAGTACTGTAAGTACCTCACCTCGCTGCTGCTGTTCTCAGTTCGAAAGTATTCTTTTAATTAAAAGCACGGTGGTACTTTCTGCAGTAATGAAATATTAGGTGGTGCTTTTTTTTTTTGAAAAAGTCACCCCGTTCATTATCGGTATCGACACTTGGAGCTAAATTTGTTGAAACTGTCTCCTTTCACTTCTTCAAATTAAACTATTTATTGCATTTCAAATTTCCATTGAAGCAAGCAGCAGTCAGAAACCACTTTGCCACGACATACACTGTAACCATGGGAAAGGTGCGGCTTCTGTGTTTATGAAATTTCACAATAAAAGGGTGTGTAGCTTTGAGGCAAGATGGATCGATAGGCTGACTTACCTTGAGAACAAAGCAGAAGTCAGTCGGGGCCTTGTATTTGCCCTTAAAGTCTTTGCCATAGTAGACATTTACGTTGTCGAACTGGACAAAGCAGACGAGGTCTCGGGATGACTGTGAAGAAAGAGGATTACATTACAAGTTGATCTGTAACTTTTTTTGGCTTGTTTTTTTTTTTTGCCCTTTTCCTGTATTCCGTGCCCACTGAACTGAATATCTACACTACAGATGCAGGATTGAGGCATAATGTGCTGTACGAATGGTATGTTTGGGATCGGGAGCTGCCAAGAGATCTAAGATATACAGTACTGAAGGTATCCAGCAGGGAGTAAAAGCTCTACTTATATTCAGCGGTGCATGAAACAAGGGTGGGCTTGATAAAGCAGACAAGACTCCACAGTAGAACTTAGTAGTCCCATGGAAAGATGAAAAACATTACATTTCATTAGAGGTTTCAGTTGACATAAGCAGAAATATCTCTCTATCTGTATCTGCTGGATTTTCATCTGTCATCGCTCCCACTTAGCTCCCTCGAGCCCGGCTGGATGCGTCCCGAATTAGAGCATCAGCGGCTGGATGTGTGTTTACTGTCTGATGTCCACTTTTGACCCCTGACCTTGGTCTTCCCTTTGGGCACGTAATAAATTCCTGAGGCCCTCAGCTGGAAGAGCCGCTGCTTCCAGGACTTCTTGCCGTCTTCTTTGAGGTACAGCACCCCCTCGAGATCAGGCACGATGATGGAAGTCCCGCAGAAGTTCTCCTGCGGAGGTGAAAGAGGGATGAAAGGCCTCGCTGAGAGGAGTTCAAACTGAGAGAACTGTCACCTTAAAGGTAATATTTCACGTGTGGGCTGTGTTTACCTGTATCAATATTTCCTTGTCTTTGTCTTTAATGTCTTTGAGAGCTTTCTTATCCTTCTTCCATAGATAAAAGTTCTGCAGGAGTAAAACATAAAGTGCATTTATGAAGACTGATTAGCAAGAATATCGGCAATTTTTATCCTAATGCTGGCGGTGTGGCTCTAGGGATGGCAGTGTTGGGCTGTAAAATAACTCAACTATGAGAATGTATGTTGGACAGATGTTCATTTATTACAAAAAAGCTTCAAGACTAAAGGCTGTACTTTGGCCTTTCGTGCAAATTAAGGCTGCAACTAATGAGAATTTTCATTGCCTAATAATCTGTTGATTATTTTCCCAATCGATTACTTGCTCGGTCTCTAAAATGTCAGAAAATGGTTAAAAAAAAGTTGATCAGTGTTTCTCAAAGTCCAAAATGCCGTCCTCAAGTATCTTATTTTGTCAGTTTATTGTCGTAGAGGAGGAAAGAAACCAGAAAATATCCAAATTTAATAAGCTAGAATCACAAAGTTTTTCTTTAAAGTTACTTAAAAATAGTTGCTAATTGATTTAATAGTTGAAAATTAAATGATTAATCTTTTAACTAACATGTTAACCCAAGATAGAGAGCATGGTAAACATCATACCTGCTTAATATTACACTTTCAGCACATGTTAGCGTCTGTTTCTTCAAATAAGGACAATCATTTTGGTTTTGTGAAGTGATCTGACCAAAGTCTTCAGGTTAAACATACAAAATATTACCTTAAAAGATTCGCTATCAGCACTCCAAGCAGAAAAAAATCACAGTCTGTCCTTCAAAAACCCCCATCAGTGTCTCAATTCCGACTGTTTTGTCTCCATATGAGTGGAATACTTTGACTTCATATCGCAGCCCAGGCCCATGTTTTCACTGCGGTACAAAGCCCAGAGGGAAGTTCTACTTGGTAGCTCATGTCAGAAGTTACATTTCTAAATTAATAGGGACGTATTGTATAAAGCAGATCTGCCTTTTGTTCGAGGACGTGGAAGACATGATGGAGAAGCTAAAAAATGAGAATATCTCACCAGTTTCCCAACGTGGCCATTTGTCTCCGCCAACAGACCGAATCCATTAAACACTCTGAGATTACAAAGGGTCCCATTATATCAACAAACATGCCCAGATCTCGCTGGTTTTTAAATTTTTTTTTTTGCCTGAAGCTGTTTGGTCTGATATATTGCAGTGAGGACATAAATGTAAGAGGTCATCCCGCACGCAGGAAAGACATCTCATAAGTCAGATGACGATTCAGCAGTGAAAATAGCCAGATGGCGCTGAGCTGCAACAATGTGGAGATAGATTTGCACGAACCCAGGCCAAGAATAAGGAACTAGCCCATGTGGGACTTTTGAGATATCACACACACATCACCCCTGATCACTGGGCTACTATATTTAGAGAGGTAGCTCGTCTGTGTTGATTTATAAAAGGCGCGGGGGACCAACCTGTGGGTTTTTGAAAACCTCATATTTTTCCCCCCTTTCTTGAAAGAGGATTTTGTTCTCGCTGTCCCGCGTCCACGCTAAGAGCGGCTCCACAAGGTTCTCGTGGTCTTCAAACGTCCGTTCTGCCGAAAGAAAAGCAAACAAACGAGTTGTCGCAGCGTTCTGATCAAGCCAAAAAAAAAAAGAATTTTCATGTGAGCAGCAGCAGATTTGAAACGACTCCAATGGTAACAAATAGTCCACGTAGAAATGGTGCAGCCTGGATGTTGAGTGTACTTTTTGATGGCACGACAAATTCTACACATAGTGGCTTTCACTCAGAGTACCACAGTGGGAATTACAAGTCATGATGGATGACAAAAGAGGCTTGAACTGGGCTAAGATTCAGGGAAACAAAGGGTCAGAAGGTCCTTAACCCACACCAGAGCGTGACACCGCTGACCTTTTTGACTGTTCCGTCTTTTTCTTCACTCCTCACGTCTATTTGAGTCCTTCAGTCAATGTGAAATGTATTTTTATTACACTGTTGTTCGCCTTTTTCATGCAGCTGGCAGGTAGGAGAAGTAGCATTTTTATGTGTGTACACCCTGAAGGTCATTGTCTGGTCTGAGAAAATGTGTTTTTGGACTAAAATTAGAGCCGTTTTCTTCAGTATAAAGTAGTTGAGAAAAATGACCCTTCACAATAAAAGTCTTAAACTGTTGCTACATTCATATCAAAGCTGGATTTTAATATTCATATTGAGCCATGGGGTGCTTTACTTGTTACATATACTACTTACAGTCAATAATTCAGTGGCATATGTAGTAGAACTTTGAAATACAAACAAGCCCTCATCTCCAAAAGCTTGTAATCAGGGTTCTGCAACCCCAAAACTCCATCAGAATTCTGCACAAATGGCAGCTATCTTGCAGCTTTCATGAGCGTCGGTTAAAAGTAAACTAAAGGGAACTACAGTCTCCGTTGTTAAACTTGCAATAGTTCTCTTTTTCTTCTCCAAAGTCATTATTTGCATCATCACAAGCGGCCACTTATTCCAACAGTGATAAGGTCGAGATCGAGGTGAACTTTTAATCCCCGAGTGGCGATTTTAGTTGCACAGCCAGCAATGAATACCGTCATTATCAACAATAAACACACTAACAACTCACGCAGAATTACATCGTTATAATAGCAACGAGGACAAACGAGTTCTTAAATCACTTTGTGCGCTAAAACCAAGCACTGGTGTAATTTTTCTGTCTGGAAACTGTGGAAGAAGCTGTTAAAAGTTCTGCAAAATCAAGTAAATTTCACTGAAGTGCAGAGCCGCGATGCCTTTCTACCTCTGCAGTAAATCCTGCTAATCTCTCCTCTATCAGCCGTGAAAAATAGTTTGGCGCAGTCAGTTTGGAAGATTAAAACGTCTCCGGTTTATTTCTCACATTCACTCCGCAGCACTTTATTATTCAAACCGGAGTATATATCAGTCTTTATCTTTGCACTGTAGAACAAGCCAAAACAAATGCTCTGCCATATGTATAGTCGTGCACTCTGTCACTAAATCTTAAAATCAGCTGAGCTCGGTTCAAAGTCAGTCTCGCAGCTGTACGATTGTCTATTTCAAATGGGCTGAATTAAGGCTGGATTCCTTCGCTGGAAGGACTTTAAATGGCACTAAACCTCGAAAACACATTAACAGCGCTTTCCTCCTCCTCCTCCTCCTCCTCCTCTCCGCCCACCCACAGATCTCCATCATGTACTGGGCATTCGACTGTAGTTTAGCCATGGTCTCCAATTACAGGTTACCAGCTGAGGCAGAGGTAGGCATTAAAAGAAATTGCTGCCAGCGTTCCAGACTATAGTTTGACTCTTTACCGTCATTAAATGGATGGTGTGACTTTGCTGCTGGAGTGAGTTATTAGGAGTAAAAAAAAAAAAAAAAAAAACGCTTTGAACTGCGTCGGCCACATGACGCAGTTCGGTAGTGCGCATGGTGAGCACATGGGTGACTTTTAACAGCGGGGACTCGTTTTGAAGATTGTGTTCCTGTCGAGCTCCGCCGTGTGTTTATTGAGCATGACCGGCCTCGACTTTTTCGTTGATGGGAATTAAAGGTCAGGTGAAGTGTTAGCAGTCAGAACACGCGTTTTGGGGGGATTTTTACAGTCGTCTAAAAAAAAAAATGAAGTCAGTTTCCACTCGTGGACTTAGTCAAAGATGACACAAGACCTCGTCAGCCTCCCGTGCCCGTGAGTCAGATGCTCTACACCAGCAGAAATGATGGTGGCACGTTATAAATAGCAATCTGTGTGTCAGACGGCTAATTTAAACTGAGGCTGTGATTTGGTCAAAGTGTTCACCAAAGGGAAACACACATTTCTTCATGTGGTGGTTTTTTTTTGTTGTTGTTGCCCAGCCACACAGATAAATCACCTTTATACACAGATGCAATAAGAAGCAGAGTGTAGAGGGTTTATCAGTCCAGTAGGGACTGTAGTTCTTGTAGAAATGTAAAATTAAAGGTCTCTATCAGGTGTTTTAGAGCACTGTGGGATGTATTAGTAGCTTATCTTGTAGTACACTTTTCAACAGTTAGTTAAAGCTTCCATGTGGGACTTTTAAAGACCCCCTTCAGTGAAAATCAAGCTTTTTATTTTGTTAACATGATCACTGGTGATTTTTCAACCAAAATACAGGATTGCTTTTCGTGACAAAGACACGTTTTAATGATTTGATCACTGAAAATTAAGAGTTCTACAAGTCATTGGAATCTCAAGACTGTCATGATGTACTTGGTCTTTACAAGTGTATGTAAACTTTTGTTCAAAAAATGTATGTAGAGATAACAATCATAAGTACCAAAAACTATAGGATGCTTTAAAAGAGTTAGTAGTGATGCAAAGTAAACATGAGGGGGAAAAAAGGCAAAACATTTAAAATGAGCATTTCTACACAGAAGTGGTTGTAATACTATACTTTGATTGTAAGGGAGCTACGGATCTAATGGATTCCTTGTTCCATACTAGTAATAAGCTGCGTCATATGTGGTCTTGTCAGTATTAGGTGGGAGGTATCAGAAGCGAAACTAAACAGTCAAAACCACAGCAGAACACTTTGAAACTGCAGCGTTGTCTCGACAACATGGGTTCAGATTTCTAAGGTTTCATACTGAAAAACTTCATGAATCAACCTTGTCAGCGTGCAGAATGGGGCTTTCCGTATCAGTATAGCTCCTCAGAATTGGTTTCCAGTTCGAACATGCTTGGCTGAATTGCTCCAATATTACAGTTCTGGGGGAGCTGGTGTGCTCGAGTTACATCTAAGCCATTTTAAGGCATGAAGAGTTATTTTATTGAACAAAAACTTCTAAATATTCATTTTTCATACACAGAGATGAGTTTTTTGGGGTTTAATCAGTGACTAGAGAAAGACTTTAAATATAAATCAGCGCCTGTTACAGTCACGCACTCCCTTTGTATTTCGCCGTATACCAGAGTTTTAAATCTGCTGTCTGTGGCGACGTTCCTGCACGGGAACACCAGTAGCAATGTTGGATGTCAACAGACGGTGGTTGGTTCACCAGAGCTTAGGTGGAGAGCAACTGTAGTGCCGGAGACGAAGTAGGCGAGAGTTGTGGCTGCATGTCAACTAGGAAAGCTGAAACCAAAGTTCTATGCTGCAGGTTTCGTGGATGCATTTCGTTATATTGTGCAGTCTTTTCAGTAATTGTCATGAAAAGACAAAAAATATCATGTCAGTGCATTCAAAACTTGATAGAGCTCATTATTCTGTGCCTTTAGGCTCCCTCCTGTCACTGCTAACACAACATGACAAATACATGTATTAATCCGCCGCTGAAAATAGTCCCCAACAAATTTGCTACAAATGAGTGTCCAGCAGATTTGGGAAATTATCAAAACTACATATTTATGATGAATGCCTAAAGATGCAACTCTTTAGCAGGACTTATGGGGAGCTGAGAGATGTGAGGAGGTCAAAATGGACTGACAGTTAATTCCAGGTTAATACATTCATTTTGTGCGTCACAGCTGCATATGAAATTTCTTGAAGAATTTTAAAGCGAAATAATATTGACTTAGACCTTATTGCTCGCAAGAGTTGATGGCTTTAGCACCGGTATTCCATTAAAAGAACTGTTTGAGGATGGCGAAAAATGAGTCACACCGCATGACACATAGGATCGTTTCTTTAAAAATACGAATTATCTCCGTAATAATCTGATGAAGTTGTAAGAAAACAGATGGTAACGGGGCGGCCTGATGGAGAATCTGATGGCGGCGCAGTCCGGCAGCTGAAGTAAATATAGCGCAGACGGCTCAGACGGAGGATTGAGATCATAAGGCTTCTATTTCCGCATGACAGGGAGGATGACTGACAGTGTCCGATACAGCAAATTAAACCCACCTGTCTACACTACTTGTGCGAGTGCGAGCAGGAGAGGGATGGAGAGAGTGTAGAAAAGGGAGAGAGAGAGAGAGAGAGACGGATGGGAGGAAGATCAGTGTTTCATTGTGAGCTCGCTGCAGTGTGGCTGCCACCGTGCCAATAAAAACACAGTCCATCATCTGGACCAGGATGAAATATCCCACCCTATGTGTGTGTGAGAGAGTCTGTGTTTAGCTGACAATTTATATAAAAACACACTGAAGGCTTATGTTGTTAAAGCGCTCATCTATCACCCCTCCGTGTTATTCTGGTTCTGTTGCTCAGATTATTGCTGAGCTGTTCCTGCACTACATTACCCAGAAATCACTTGCCAGTGATGCAGTGTCTTTTTTTTTTTTTTTTTGCTTGACATTTTGGTAGCAACCCAGATTGATTTATCCCAAACTGCTGATGGAAATACAAAAGGGATCTAATTTTCTGAAGACTTTTTATTTCCCCCTGAAAATACTCAACCTGTCACCAGGTGTTTAGGACAGAAAATATTTCAGGAAATAGCCACATGTTCAATCTCCGTGGTGCTATATTAATCAGTTACCGTGCCTTAAAGCCATACAGATTGTTAATAGATTGATCATTTGTCATAAAAATTCCTCGACCAGAGCTGGGGCTTTATTTTCCGTCAGTCCTACCAGCGTTAAAATATGCTTCTGAATGTGTCAGTTCTCAGTGGTGCCCTCCACAGACGTTGCATCACTTGCTGTAACTGTGCCGTTGCCACCATAGACTGTGGTTGCCACACAGCTTTTTTTAACCGTGTCACCAGACAACACATGACCAAACTGTGGGGTTTTTTTTTAGAAGATTTTTTTACATACAGTGCCTGAAATTAAAGCAAAAATGACTTATAGGTTGTCAGGCTCAGACAAGACTCAAACACAGACTGAGAGATAAATAAGATCCTTTCAGGTCATTGATTAAACCCAGAAAAACTCATCTTTGTGTATGAAAATTACATATTTTTTCTCATCAGGACATTTTTAGGCTTTTCATTTACGATTATTAGATAATTTTAGTTGTGCTGTTGGCATTACATTTGGTAAAGGTGTGTATTTTGGGGGAAATTTGGAAATTTGAACCTGAGTGATGAGTTTTTTAAAAACATTGTGTCAACATCAGACACAATGATGCTGTTAATCATCGACATATCTCAGACTGTGATAATCAAAAAAGCATTTATTATATGGAAAATAATTAGTTTTTTGCCCCCCCCCCCCCCCCCCCCCCCCATTAAAAACAACACAATGGCATCCTGTAAACAAGGGCTAAAGGGTTAAAATCCTGAAAATGAATGAATATTTGGCATTTGTGATTAGGAATGATGTAGAAATAAGTCAATCAAAGTGAAAAGTAACGCTAAAATATTACGTTTTTTGGCATTGTTTTTAACATGGACATTTTTGTCTTTAAGGAATTCTGTGTAACTTTTTAAAATACACTAAATTTTTAAAGTTTTTTAACTTTTCTGTTAGTTTTATGACATTTTTTTTGTTATTTTTAAATTCTTGTTCACAGTCTATTTGTATGACAGTTTCTACTTTTCGTACTAATATACTACTGTCTATATTGTCGTATCATCAGCTTGTACATTCATCTATGCAATATAAATACAGTAGTATCACCTTCATAGTACATTCTCTATTGTAAATACTCACCAAGTTGCAGTTCAGGGTTGGTCTCGCACAGACTCCAGTCCACGTTACAGTCACAGTGAGTTTTCTCAAACATGTTGTCCAGAACTTCCCGGACGTTTTGTCTTTCGTCCACCATCAGGGTTTTGGAGCAGCCATCGTTCATCAGAACTTTCACCACCAACTGTCAGAAAAATTAGGCTTCATTTAAATTTGTTGTATTTTCTCTGACAAAAATGCATTCCAATAAGTTAAATCTACTACTTTATTTGACAATCTTGTGGCGATTTAGAAGAGAAAAATCTCACTATTTTAACTTTGCAGTAAATATGAAGCTACAGCACGGCTAGCAGGCAGTTAGCTTAGCTTAGCTTAGCTTGGCAAAGCCTCCAAAAAAATAGTTTTTACACTTTGTTTTCTGGGTAAAGATTAAACAAGGAAGATATAGTGTGCAAATTTATTACAATTACATGCAGCATTTCTTGTGTTTGGATAGAACCATGCCAGCTTTTTGCCCCATTTAATGCTAAGCTAATCTAGCCATCCCCTAACTGTTGCTTCATACTTCAAGTGCAGATGATCCAAGTGAATTTTACCATCAAAGTCACAGGCAGAAAGCAATAGCATATTTTACAACCTGTGCAAAATATTATGTTTTCTACGAGAGATTGAAGTTTTCCAATATAGTAACAGGTATCCTGAGTGAGACACCGAATCCAGCGTTTACGCACAAGCAGCTTGTTTATTCGCCAGTTTAATTACAGCCTATGCACACTAAGTGCTCGGTTCTGTTTCCTAATGTTAGCTTTACTGGCAGAATTGGAGCATCAGCACTTCTGTCTCTCTGTTCTGGCCTTTTATTAATTTCTTCTCCAACGTCTTTTTGCACTCTTAGCGCCTCATCCAGCGACTTGGCTGAGATTAATTTTGCTCTGGAGCAGAGCATCGCTTTCCTTGCATGCTCATATGGCTTCACGCTTCCTCTCATCTGGAAACAAATCCAGCTTTGGGAAGCCGAGGAGTTTCACAGAACCAAGGTCAGCCAGTTGCCTTTTGTCATAAAAATGTGGGTTTTCAGAGATGTTATCACAAGAGGATTTAGAGTGTTAGATCACATGTCACTCAGACTTGACCTTCCCTGAAAAACAATCCGGTTTTGACATGTGGCCGAATGAAATATCACTGGATATCTTTTTTTTTTTTTTCCAATTTAGTACTTCCTTATGCATAGAAGGTATCTTTAAAAAAAAGAAAACGGAGGGGTACACGGAAACGTGATCAGGAACCTGTGGGTTTATCTGAAACATGAGGGCCTCTGACCACAAAAAGTTCTGCTGAAACCGCTGAATTTTGCACCTTGCTCTTCTGAATCTAACAGCTCAGACAGGGGTTCCTGTGAAAGTGTCCAGTGGGCTGTTTCCTCAGTTTCCACCTGCACACGTGGTGATTAGACAGGCCTACAACTTCTAACAATTTGTCATTACCGCCTTTTTAGCAAATAGGCAACTAAAGCAGTCCCACTCATGAGTGGAAATGTTGAACATGGCATTCATTTGTCACATCGCCTGCGATAAAAGCATGGCGTGGCATCAGCATGAAACTAGTTTGGTTTGTGTAAAATCGCAGATCTTGATGCGTAGCTTTGCATGCAAGACCACATGTCTGTGCTTTTGTGTGCCGCTTTGAAGATGAGAAAGTGTCCACATTTCACCCAAAGAGGAAACCGTGCCGTCCTGTAGGATGTTGGCCGGATGAGAGTGGCCATCCATTATTGTGATTGATGGCTCTTCCAAACGGAAAGAGAGGAAGAAAGAGCCATGCGATGTTTGACCATTAAACCTTTTACAGTGACATCCAGGTAGCCGTAATTCTGAATGTCTTCACTGTTGCCAGTGCATGTCGGATCAGAGGACAGTGCACCACGTCAGTGTTTGCTGGTCTTACCTTTTTCACTTTGGCTTCCTTCAGCTTCTCAAGAGCAAGTTTGATTTTGTCTGCCTTCATCTGCGCCTCGATTTCCTCCTAAACGGGACAGACAGTGACGCATACAATGATGAGACAGCTGAAATATTTCATATTCATCCGTCATTTGTCAGGAGCTACAGTGATCATGTCACTGTGCTAAAACTTGCACATGGCACACTGTGGCTGACGTGTTGATGAACTCTACAGCATCAAGTTGTAAAAATATTACAATAACATATTATTTGATGCTTTAGTTTCGGAAATATTTCAGAAAACATGCCAATTCACTCTTTTGCCTACAGTCAGCAGGATTAGCTTAGCTTAGCATGGGCTGCTAGGTGGATTTCTAACTGCAGATGCTTCAGAACTCCAGGATTGTAGTGGAAACTATTGTATATTCAAAATCTAGATAGTAACGCTTCACCCTAAGTCAGCTCAGACAGCTCCAGTCCCCCCCCGACCCTCGTGAGGATTATGCGGTGTATAGATGATGGATGGATGGATGGATGGATTGTAAAGCCCTCAAAAATGTAGTTTTTAACATATAACAATAAGAATCACAGTGACTGCTTGAAGGTCTGTGCTGTGTTAACAGGACACATGTAGGTTAACAAGATGACTTCAGCCATAGAGTAGCAACAGGAGCCATATTTCCATAAAATTGTAGAACAATTTTTTTTTGCAAGTTTTTGAAATTATGCAAAAACTACAAAAAATTAACCACTTTGGAGTGAATAAACTGCGTAGCATCACCATAAAGTGGTGGCATATGTTACATGAAAAAGCTGAAAACAAAGCAACTGTTTTCTAACTACTAGAGAAAAAAAACAAAAAACTTTTGCATCTATCAGAAAAAAGAAATAAAAGTCTTCAGGAATTGCTTTAAATAAGGAAAGCTGTAGTTCACGTGAGCTATTACTGGTTGCATTTTAAGCCATTTGGAGGCAAAAACAGTGAAAGAAGTGAGTTAAATGTTCACTACGTCAGAACTTATTCAAAAAAGATGTTTCCATCTTTAACTGTGGGTAGTAACTCTAATGCGATACCTCAAAATGTATCTTAAAATATGGAAGCATGGCTCGAGTCAGTCTCGAAAGACGTGGTTGGATGATTTAGAGCAGATTCAAGGTCAGTTCACATTACGTGATACATGACGACCAGTCAGGCCTGGTCCCAACTCAGCTCCGCTCCATTACGTTCTCATAGAAAAACCTTTGATGTACTGACATTATTGTACATTTTGGCTGTTTTTGTTCAATGAAACGCAAAAGGTTTAATTCCAGTGAGTACATTTCTGTGGATAACACTTCAGCATTGCTCAGGAGGTGTAATATATTGGCTTGATTTCATCTCTTCCTCTGGGTTCGTGCAGGAATTACGTTCGGGATATTACATCCAACCTATTAGCTCTGAATGAGCCGGGATGGGTTACTATTTTCTTTGGATTTATGCTTATAAGTCAGGTGCAATCACACATAAAAAATCCTGCCCACAGCTTTAATGAACTTGTACTCGTCTACCTAACAATGACGCATTCTCTGCCTCGGCACAGCTGGTGTTTTTACCTCAGAAGGATGAGGTAACAAGCTCTGCTAAAGCAATAAGCTCCCGTCTGGCTTCCCCCTCCTCTAAAGCACTGCCACATCTCTACCCCAACCTTTGCTATTGATCCTGTTACACTTTTCTCATGGCCGCATGCGTTTGATCTGTTCCAGACAGACTCTCTCGGCTGTTTGGCCTCACAAGTCTCTGTAACTGTAACAGATGCCGCCATGCAGGAACCAGTTCGCTATGATCTCACTGTCCGACCGTTATAAGAGCAATACCACTCTTCCGAAGTTCCACAAAAGGCGAAGAGAACTCATCAGAAATTTATAGGCTGGGAACTGGTGATGTTTTTATTGTAAAACTGTCTTGTCACGCATGGCTTAGAAAGCACTTACTTGTGGTACACCAAGACATACCACCAATAAAAGCAAGACTGTGACATTATTTCTATGTTTCTGCTCTTCTATATTGTCTTTTAAAGGCCCAACAAACTAGATGCCCTTCAGCATTGTGCCATTGTCCTTGAAAGCAACCAAAACTAACTCTCTATTAGCCTGACAAGCCTTGATTAAAACTCTCACTTCTTAAATTTTGGACCAGTTCCCAGTGTTCAAGAGGTGAGGAAGTAACCGGAGAAAGGCTGCTCATATCTTACAAGGGCTGACTCACCTTTGTAGGCTTCTTAGACTGAGGCGGCGGTAAAGGGGAGGTGGCGGAGGAGGAAGGGGTGCTGACGTTGCTGCCGCTGCTTGCGGGTGATGTTGGTGAGATAAGCGAGGAGGCAGGTCGCGAGCTCAGGTCTGTGGGCGGCGGCGGCAGCGTCTGGTCCGATGGGGGCACCTTCAGGCCTTCGATCTCAGCCGCGAGTTTCTCTTCCGTTGCGTTGAGGTCGGCCACCAGATCGGCCATGAGCGCGTCCAAATCATTGTCCTCAAGTTCATGTAGGGACTCTGGTGAAGCACAGTCATTTTGTCAATGTACGGATACATAAATAGTTAGTGTAGTGTACTTTATTATTTGTCCCCTTGAAGGGCGATTTGTTATGCAGAAGCTTACACAAAGCATTCACAATGAAAACAATAAAAAACAGATTAAAGGAAATGGTTTAATAAAGTAAAAGTAACACAATAAGCTGCTGCTGGTACAAGTACATGAGTCAGTAAATACTTGTCAGTATCGTCTCATGGAATTGCTGTGGTTCCTTTTTCACAATGATTAGGACTTTTTTCTTCAAACCTAAATAACTTTCCTTTTTCAAACCAGTTCCTATTTTGTGTGTGTTTTTATTCAGCATTGCAGCAACAAAGGAATATTGAGGAATAAAGAAAGATGGTACTGTAGAGGAAGCTACTTAACGGATGGAGTTTTAGTTTTGTTTTTGTATGTATTTTTAGCCGATTTAGAGCCACTTGATAATGAGGAACCATTTGTGTATATTCAATCTTGGATTATTTTTTCTGGGTATTTCCACCTTTTTCAAACAGTGACAATGAAGCTAGATAAGATTTTTTATTTTTTTTTAAAGGAGTGGGGAAAAGACATCCAGCAAAGCATTTATTAATCATAATTAAAGGCCTATTAATTAAGCATTTATATTCAAATCTGATGACTTTATTGTTGGTTAATAGAAAATTACTAGATGTTGAAGATTGGTTATGAGCTAAAACAATGTTTTCACAACCAGGCAACCCGAATTTATTTCATTTTTAGGGCATCATTTGCAAATTCCTTCTAAAAGACACATGGAAATGTCTCTTCAAACCACTAGATTGGTGGTCGAGACGGAAATATCTCAACAACTATCGCATGGATTGTCAAGAAAGTTGGCACATCTTTTCCCCAGAATTCATTGTAATCACTTTTCATGTGGCGCATCATCAGAGCCAACATTTTTAATTCTCCAGTTAAAGTTTATGACCAAATACTTGCGCTAGCCTCAGCCGCACATGACTTTGGTGCTGATAAGTCGGTATTCTTACGCTAACAAACACGGTAAACATTACTTTCTAGCGGCAGCATGACTTCAATGCATCAGCCTCACGGAGCCGCTGGGTTGGATGTAGAAGTTTATTGTTTTAGAAAATGGAACCGTTTATTCCGTGATTGATAGTTTAGTTACGCCAAGGACGGCTTGTGTTTGCAAAGTCCTTTGAGACGTACGTTTGTTATAAAGCCGCAGAGCTTATCAACTCAGTTTGACAAGATTTAATGGCGTTCACAATGCAAAGACAAAAGGGGAAGGAGGAACTTAAATTAGAGCGCTAATACTGTAAGAAGCTGTGACCTTGCTCTAATATTATTACTGCTGCTTGTTGTGCCGGCTGTTAGAGCCAGAGGCAAATAGTGATTAATTAGGCCTTAATCTTAGTCTGAAATCACATCTTGAACAGTCGCCAGATATAGTACAGAGCAGCTTTTTAAGCCTTTTACGTCAGAACCACTTCTTCAATCTCAATAATTCTTCTAATTGATGAAAAACATGTGATAGATCCTGGACTTGCACAACTGGGAGGTTGTAGCAAGTCGTTGTGCAAAAGCTCAACACCCAGTTCTTTGTAGTGTTTCCACACACTTCGATATGACAAAATGTTAAGTCACCATTGAGGTCAGTGAAGCCGATGGAGAAGTTGGCTTCGTTCTCGGTGCTGGGGAGAGGCGCAGGAGGCACAGTTTCCTGACCGAGACTCTGCAAGGAAACAATGAACAAGGCGTCGTGTTTATAAGAGCGTGAATGCAATTTCTGTACAGCGACAAGACCCCCAGAAGCTCAGCGAGTTAATCCACAGCACACGCCGAGGGCTCCGAAACATAAACTGTCCTCAAGCATTATGTAAGAAAGGAGAGTTTTACATTTAATGTTCCATCTGTTTTTAGGCATTTGATCTAACAGTGCTTCTATGTGCAATATGACGCCTCCTCTCGGCAAAATTGAAGTGATTTAAAATGACTGGTGGGCTGGAAAACAACATCAAAGTGATCAGCGGGGGTTTTTCACTAAGGGGGAAAAAAAGTGTAATCTCTCGCTGGCTCATGAGTTTGCCTTTTGACCTTCTCAGTGTAATTTATGGTTGTTAGATGACCACAAAGAGTGTTTCTGTTGTGTTTGCCAGTCTGGAGCATCTCGGTGATCGATGGGGGGTTTTATCGACTTTGTCATCTGCCATCGAAGAGGTTAAGACTATTTAAGATATTAGACAGAATTAGCCACAGGCAGTCTGGAAAAAATGTGTTGTCGACTATGACCTACATTCAGGAGTGATATTTTATTGTTGTATTTCCCTGTGATGGTGGAAAAGGTTCAATTCCAATGTTACTTTACGCTGGAACTTTAATTACACGTTATGCACAATATATTTGGACAATTGTTTTCAAAAAAATAACTAAAACCTTCATAAAAAAATTGCACTCACGTATTACAAATATTTTCTTCGGCTTTTTGAAACTAGTAAGACCAAAAATACTTGTTTATGTTGTTTTCCTGCTATTTTTTTAAAAATCTTTTTATTTAATTTTTTTTTATTTTCATAGCAAAAAAATTTAAGTAAATTCTGCAAATGGATTTATACAACTAAAAAGAAGAGGATAAGCTGAAAAAATTAATTAATTGACAAGAATGATAATAACAAATCAACCAAAAACAGGCAAATACAAGTCGTTTTCTGCTATCGGAGCAAAAAAATAAATAAAAAATCCCAACAAAAACATACAAAAGAAGGAAGCAACTTGTTCTTAGAAAGAAAAGTAGAAGGAAATCTTGCAACCAATTTGTTTTCCTGCCTTATAGTTGCCATGGCAACGGCCTGAACTCACCTGAGTGAGGAGGTCCATCTCCCCCAGCAGGTCACTGAACATGGCGTCAATGTCATCCATCTGGTTAAAGTAACAACAGAAGTGTCAGCCACACAGAAGAAACACACATCAGTCTTTGCTAAGCTGTTTCCAAGAATTTCTTCCAGCAGGACACCACGTGTATCCATGACACGTACCGATTGGTGCTGCGAGGAAGCAAAGAATTTTCATCGATTAGACGTGGTTGTCATGACGGATGACGGCGAAAGAATGTGAGGAATGAGGAGGTGAATCCATTTGCATGGAGAAAACAAATGTTAAATACACATGCATTTTACACCCGCCTGTGGTGAGGTACTGCACTGCTGCCTGAAATGTGTGCAGCTGTGATACGCTCCCCGAGGCTATGCTATCTTGCAAAACATCTCCAACTGGAAGAGGAAAAATATGTATGCATGACTTCAGGCATTCATTATTTGCCAGAACTTGTCGGGCCTTGTTGCACATGCTGAAGTGGAGACATGTCACACTTCTTCATTTTCTGTCAGAGTCAGAACGAGCAAGTTTGACTTTATTTGAGCTGACAGACCGACGTCCATCAGACCATCAGCATATGTTGTGGAAGTCTTGATTAAAACCACTGATCTGGTATGATTTTGACATGTTTATAAATCCCGTCTTCCTTCTTTTGACACCAACTGAAACAGCTCCGCATCAGTTCCAGTTTAAAACTTGCTGTCAGTCCCACTGCATGTGGAAATCCTGCACGATTACAACGTACGGCCTTTGTTTCAATCGTTAAATATCACAGCGCCGGTTCGTTTCAAACACTGCATGCTAAAAAAAATAAAAATTAAAGTGCTTCAAGACCATTAAAATTGATCTCTGAAACATGCTGAGCCCCAAAGAAAATGAAACCATTGACAGCATAAAGTATGCAAGCTTGCATAATGTGCTTTGCTATAAACTGCTGATCAAGTCTCCACTGACTCACACATCCAACTGTTACAGATTTATATAGTTTAACCCCGGCGTGGATGTATGGAAGGAAAAGTCAGCATCATTTAGGTTAATTACTTGACTTTGAAGTCATAATAACCTGAGGAATCTCTATAGCAACTGTGTTTTCCCTGAAAACAACTGCAGAAGACGTTTACCTCCCTAATTATGTACAGCGCGCTGTCTGTCTCTCCCTTACATGTATTATTTGAAGCCTCATTTCTCAAAGCAAATGTTATGATGGTGGTAGAATGTGGAGTCAAAACAGAGTCCCTGTTTTCTTTTCTTACAGTGGAACATGAGTGGTAGCAGTTAGGAACAGTGGACGTGTCGGCAGGAGTTCAGAGGCGGAAAGGAAATATAGTCTCCCTGTAGCATCTTTATGGTGGCTGGTAAACGCTTTCTGATTAAAAACTCATGACTGCTGGACCACTAACTTTTGTTGGTTGAGCTCAACAACCACTGAAACGTCCTGACTTGTTTGACAGATAGCACACCGGTTGCACCTTCTCTCTCTGTGGCTGTTAAAGTGTTTTAGCAGCCTCCTTGTAGCCGTGACAAAGCTCTGCTGTATTTTTCAGTTTCACTTCTATTCTTTACTTGTCAGATGCTGCTCATTCAACCGCTTTGGTCCAGATTGAAATATATCAACAACTACGAGAGCAATATTCATGCTATGATTAAACTAATGTCTTTATTGATTCTTTAATGATCTTTTCTTAGTTTTGCCATGAAGCATCTCAATATCTACCAACAGATCGGCACAATTTTTTTTTACTCTAACATTCCCAGATGATGTATCGTAATGACCGCGATACCCCGACGTTTCCTTGAACACCACCATGCGCTTTTGATTAAATATCTCAACAACCATTGGAGGGATTACCATGAAAATTGGCACCACCATTCATGTTCCCCTCAGGATAAATTGCAAGCTTCGCTGATCCCCTAACTTTTCATTTAGCACCAACGTCAGGGCAAAGTATAAATATCTACAGTTATTTGGTTTATAAAACCACATGAAACAAAACTATACTGGCACTTTCGTCGGCCTCGGCTTATGTTTCGTGCCAAATGTCGGCATGCTAACGCCCTAAATTATAGCGATCACTGCAAACACAGCCTGCCTCGGTAAATATGATCATGTGATAAATACAGCTGCACAGTGTTAGCATGGCCGTACACTCAATCAATGTTTTACAGAGACAGAGATGATGTTGCTAAACATGGCAAGACTCTTTTTTTGCTGTTGTCTTCTACTTATGTCATTGTTAGTTCCAAGCTACCTGGCATTATTCCAATTAGTTTTGAAAAAATCATTTTGATTTCTGGTCGTCAGTGTTATTATTGCTGATTTTAGAATACAGCTGCAACAATGAATCAATTAGTTGTCAACTATCAAATCACTTTTTTTTTTTTAGTTAAAAACGTTGAATTTCTCAGATTTTCTGATTTCTCTACTCTTCTATGACAATAAGCTGAACATCTTTATGTTGTGGGCAAAACAAGCCATCTGAGGACGTCATTGCAGACATCTTTCTGACATTTATAGGCCAGAAAACTAATCAGTTAATTGAGAAAACGCAATCTAGAACAGTTCAGCTATGAGGTGTAGTTCTTTTGAAAGAATGCCTGCCAACCCACAAAGCATTGCTGTACTAACTTTGAAGGCTGTCATGAAACTCAAAGGTTTGGCCGTCGAATCAGAGTTAGAAACAGCTCTGGTCTGGTTGAAGTTTAGTTTGGTTTAACTTATGTAACAATCAGCGAGTTTGATTTCTCTAAGACCACACAATGGCCTCAGAGTCTCCGGTTGTTTTCTGCAGGCCTCCCTCTTGTTGTACCGTTAGCCTCTAACACAGAGTATTTGCTTTTTCTCATTGGTTTTTTTTCTCCCCAAAGACACTTACACAACCAATTCTCTACTCTTCACCTTGTCTCTGCTGCTACGGCACATTAAATATGAAAACATGATCTTTAGGAAAGTGTAACTCACTGCTTTCACTCATCACAGTTTGGAATCTGTTTGTTGGGGTTTCAGCTCCAACAAGAAAAGAGAAAACGTTTTGCAAGGAAACTTTAATCAAAAGACTCTCGGCCACACTGCGGCGAAGACAAGTGTGACTGATTGTGTTCCCAGGCAAAAGTTTAATACGGGATCGATACCGTTGCAACATCTGACGGATGACGTGTACGTTTGGAAAGCCGTGTGTCTCCTGACTTCTTCTATCGGATTGGACGGATCGTAGATTAAAACGTCCCTCGTGCTCATTTCCATGTGACGTGCATGTGCGAGTCTCTCTCTCCACCCCATACGTGCAAGGAAGCGGTGAAGTGGTTAACTTCCTGCCACTTGCAATGTCGAAATGGTATCGGAAATGGTGACATGAACAGCCACCTGCAAATGTAATGGTTTTTGCTGCCTGTGTTCTCGTTATATCACTTAGTAATGGTTGAAAAACCTAAATTGCAGAGGTGCAATTTGCGTTCGTATTCGGCATAATGACTAAACAAGACACAATTTAACTAATTTACTCAAACAGCCGCTGCTTTTACTTAAAATATTTCTTTTATTACCACTTTTATTAGCAATAAAACTAATCTCTGTGATTTTCCACATTAGCTCTGTGCTCACTGACAACCGCACTGGTGTCAATTTAAAGGTGGAATTTTAGAGTCACACGAGGAAAAGTTTAGTCCATCAGTCAGATTGCTGCGAGCGGCTGCTTTTAGAGGCCAAATGCGTTAAGAGGACCGCTCCCAGCTCATCTACAGTAAAGACAGGGGTGAGTGCAAGCATGCGGTCACAATGTGAAAACAAACATCTGCAGATGGAGGCAATATTTGGCACAATTTTAAAGTCGCTTCCTCCTCTAGACAAATGTATGAATAGAGTCGTGCTTGCGGCAAGTGGCAAAGTGATCTGTAGGTGTGACATGCAGCTGAAACACAGAATGGAACCTTGAGGTAGAACCACTGCAAGCATATTAAAACGATCACCAATAAGCTATTAGTATTACTCAAGGAGACGTTGTGACATTTATAGAGATGGTGACACTGATAGCACTGTTGTGTCTGTCTTTTAAATACACAGCCAGGAGTGTTTAGCGTAGCACGCAGCCTGCAAACATGGAGAAACAGTCTAGCGGTTACCAAGGTAACAAAATCCACTTTCGGCCCCAGTGCGAAAACTAACGTGACAGCTTGGTATCTTCAAATAGTGTATAAATAACACACCGGGTCTCTTAGCATGTTGTCAGATCACACTTTGTGCCGGTCATTTCACACCATGTAGCCTGGAAGAACGAAAGTCTCACCTTAGAAAAGAGAATTGTTTGATCTGCAGTAAAGACGTTCAGAAGTTGTCGCCACAAGTTTGCCAGTGTGCCATCCGTCCAGATATTTTCTCACGATAATGAGAGGTTTCAAACAGACCACTTGCACGAACACATTTATTTGCAGCATTTCGGTACTGGAACTCAATCAATGGCTCTTTGAAACTATTGGATAAAGTCGTTCCTTATACACATTCTTTGTGATAATAATGGCTACTGGCAGTGATTGAAAAATGTATAGTTAATGGATACTACTGTTTTTTTCAAACCTTACTTGCATTTACAAATTTGCCCTTGCAGCCAATTTGTGTTGATATTCAGAACAGTTACCACTAGACAAGTTATTTATGCTGAACTCATTATATCATCTTAAATGGCATCCTTATTTTTTATTCCAGACTTCAGAGGCGGATTTTGTTACATTTAGACAGCAATTAATTTGTTGCTAGTCTTCATGCTAAGCTATGCTAATGAGCTCTTCTTTGCAGCTACATATTTACAGAAATGAGAGGAGCATCAATCTTCTAATCATACTCTCAATTTTTTAAAAAAAAGAAAGAATAAAAAATGCATATTTTTCCTAAAAACGAATGAAAAAATGTTTTACTTTTGGCTCAAGAGCTGAGCTGAACTGTTCACCTGTTGTGAAAGATTTCTGAAGAACTCTCGTAGCTGGAAGTGACAGACCAGCATGACTTAACTCTATTCGAGAGACCTGCACAAAGTTGTACGAAGTGAGCTCAGTTTTTCCATTTTGATGAAACATGTTACAACAAAGAGACCAAACTGATGATCTGGAAAGTGAAATGGAGCGAACAAGGGGTTTTTTGCACGCAACACAACCAAGTTCTTATTTGTAAACTTGTTTTCACATTACTTTGGATGACCCTGCTGTGTAAAAGAATGCCACTGCCTCTTCTCACCATTTCCATTTTCTTTCCAGAAACCGAAATATGTGATTCAAACTCAACATTATTGGAAACATTTGAGCACGAAACCAGCACAAAGCATCACGGAAACGCACTTCTGCTATCCAAAGACACAAAAAGTCAGGAAATGCAGCACGCAGGCAGGCACGCATTGCATTCCTTTGGAAAACGATTGCCCTCTAAATAATCTCAAATATATGTTTCAGCCTCTCTATAAGTCCACACATGTGTAAGTCAAGCTTCGGGCAAGAAAATGGAAACCAGACATTCACTTTAAGTGGCCGTATCGAAGCACTGCGTGTTTACCGTAACGTAAAGAAACTCCCTCTCTTACCCGGATCACATATCTGAACTTGGGTTTTGTGTTTACAGAACTGCATGTACTCTGCTGTAAAGTAGGCAAATTAGGGACTCTGCGGCAGAAACTCAACGCCGAAGGGGGTAAAAAGCAAGACTGAAAAGTGACATGTGACAATACACAAGCTCTTATCTGACTCAGATTTCGAAACGCATGTTAACAGCGCAGCTCCTGCAGCTCTTCTATGTACATTTTTTAACACAAAACCTCTGTTGCACATGAATCACAGACACTTTGTCCAACTGAAAACACTGAAAAAAAACGGTAAACACCCGCTCATCTAAAAGGCTTTTACTCCATCCTTCCAAAAGGACACTTTCAATTACACGCTTTAAAGCTAATTCGGCTCATGTTTCCCATCTCAAAAGCCAAACGTACAAAATGTTCCTATCGCCAGTGACAGCGGTATTAGCTTTAAAATAAGAGGCCAACCCTATCAGTTTCATGTGGTTATTGAGTCATAGAGCAGTCTGAAATCAGAGTGGGGTCCACCCAGTCGGAAAGCAGACAACATATGAACTTACATTCTTTTTATCTTATTAAAATACTCCTAATGGCTGCCTTATCGCTGCACAGACACTTAATTAAGTTTTGTGTCACGGGAACAAAAATATCTCTTGACAGCCACTGATTTCTGTCATTTTGATATCACAGAGAACACATTAAAACCACAACCTCAGTCTCTATTATTTAGATTATGTGTAAAAACCTCTCCAGTTAAGGTCACTCCGCTGTTGCTCAGTGTGTAATCTGGCAGCGCGACAACAAACACACCGCTCCCTTATAAACTCTGGGTGTTCACCGTTAACTGAAGGTACAACATCCAACCCAACAGAGACAGAACTCACCTTTTCAAATGTATTAATCCTTTTCTTTTCAAAATTTCAAGATAACAGCTTCATGGACATCAGTTCCACCTCGGAGTATTATTCTCTAACGAAGTTCAACACCACAGAAACAAAAAAACAACAAAAGCAGTCATAGGCAGGCAGATTTGGGTGTGTTGATGTGGATTGCATCTGGCTCTCTGACTGTTGACTTCTTCCTGCTTAATGCGGAAGTTCAGGTCTAGACCTGTCACTACATTCCTGTTGAGAGCTCAAAACTTTCACAACAGTCTTGTCTGGGCAACGCTGTGCCATCCACCCCCCCCCCAACCTTTAACAGCGCTGCTTATCGGCACTGTAACTGTTTTCGAGCGGGACCAGGAGAAGTTTACTGCAGCGGTGACTGACAACCACTTGTGCAGATGATGAAGTTTGTATAGAAAAAAAAAAAAAAGAAGAAGTTGGAACAAGAGAAACGGCTGAGTCAGCACGAGGAATGTGACGGGTCTCGGTTAATAATTCACCTCGCTGAAACTGATTTACAGCAGGTCTTTAGACAGGAGTGGTAATGTGGCACGTCATAGCGGTGAGGGATACCAGAGTCCAGCTGAGCTCCACTGGTCTGAAATCCTCAGAAAAATACAGTTCCGCCTGCAGAAATAAGCATAAATCCTGAATGATTTCCTTTACAACTTCTCCAGGCTAACAAAACACATAAAAATTGCTTTAATTCACGCACGAGCCTTGCTTAAAATCAGGAAGGAGTATCTTAAGACACCGGTGTGGTGCAACAAGGTCGGTCATCTTCAGTGGGGAAGCAAGGAGAGTCAAACTGTCAAGCTATGAATAGCCTCTGGCTCTTATCTGACCATGCAGACACAGATAGCTCTATTTATTTGCATTTCTCCTTGAGTCAACCTGGGAGGCCAAAAGAAATCAAGATTTACCATCTTTTTTTTTCATCCTCTCGCAGCTTGAAGGAAATGCACATCGAGCTCAACAGAAAATATTAAGAAATTAATGCAAAATTATGCCTACAAGATCAACCTTTCTCCATTGCTACCCTCATTTTCCAGGAAAATATTAGTCTCCCTTTGCTTTTTTCTGCTATTATTAGCACTCCTGTGTCCCATTTTCCCTCCAGACCAGCCTCGGCTCCGATGGGAAAGACAGACCACCCTCTCTGTGGCAAAATCCTGTCATCATACGGTAAAGCTGAGCACCACGGGGGGAAACTAAATAACCTTGAATGCTTCCAAGAGCCTTTCATGACTAGTGATGTATTAAACAAACACTCTGGGTACAGGCATGTGTCCCAACCACCCTCATTTCCTCCCTCTGTCTCTCTCAGGGGTTGACAAACAGATGGACGCCAAAGGCAGCCTCCCATTAGCTCCGAGCATCTCCCAAACACGAGCGCGCCGGTGCCTCGGAGAACATTTCTCAAATAAATACGCTGATTAACGGTTGTGGAGCTCGGCAGCGCAGAGCGGGGCGATTTTTCTGCTTTGTTGTGTCTTTGCAGTCTCTCTTGACACACTGAGGGTGGTCCAACGGAGTGGATTCTGATAATAGTTTGTGTTCGCGTACGTTGCAGCTCATCCATCAGAGTACGGAGGCAAGAAACTGAATAAGACTGTTATTTTTTAGTAATTTAATCAAGCTGCGTGTTTGTCAAATAAAGCAGGAGCTGCGATGTCAAACACGTCCTACTTGACAAAGAGAAGTCTGTTGGCTTTAAAGGTTTTGCAGATGGTAAGGTGTGAGGTGCAAGGCATTCTTTTTAAGCCATTAGTCTCCATCATGTTATACCTGAGCGCTCCAGCACACCTCCGAATACGTTTCTTGGGCCTGGGCACTAAAAGAAAATGGGGTGATAATGACAAAACCAGTGGGCACCTTGCAAAACGATAGAACGTTTGTTGGAAGCAGTGCTGCAGATGACAGACTGTCACCGTGATGATGTGTAAAGTGATGCGTACAGGAGTGTTGTAGTGCCCTCTGTTTGTACTCTGCTGTACTGTACATGCCAAACGCTATTGAACTCAGTGGGTGGTGTGGAGCAGCTCAAGCCGCCGACCTGCTGCTTTTCTTTTGTGGTTTTCTAATCCACACCACAAGTTTACACCAGAAAAATAACTAACTTTTTTTTAAAAACATGTATGCAGCTAGTTTGGGATTCAAAAAAGCACCCCTGCTCATCTGCATCCAATAAACAAGAAAAATGAAGTCTGTTTTCAATAACATGACTCAAATTCCTTGACTTTTGGGAAAACATGATAGACTTTCAGAATTGTGACAACAAATGTCCAAAATTGGGGAAGAAAACGAAAAGAGAAAAACAAAAAAACATGATGTACTGTCAAGATTATGATAGAAAAAAAATCTAAAATATGATGTGCTATATCTAAATTATGAAAAGAAAATGACAAAAAAAACACGATATACTAAGTCAAACCTATGACAAGAATGTCTGAAATAATATATATCAAGTGAAACTCTGACAAAAGTGTCAAAAAATATAATAAATTTGGTCAAATTGTAAGTTAAAAAAAGTCTAAATGCAATACACTAACTCAAGATTGTAGGAAAAGGGTGTAAAAAAACGATATACTAAGTAAAAACTATGAGAACAATGTCGGAAAAACAATAAATTAAGCCAAATTGTGAGGAAACAGTCCAAAATATGATAAACCAAGACCCAAATGCAATATGTTAAGTAATGATTCTATTAGAAAATGCCTGAAATATTATATAATAAGTTAAAATGATCAAATGTCTGAAATTTATTAAGTCGACATCATGCGAAAAATGTCTAAAATTCATAAACTAAGTCAAAGTTATGAGACAAATATCCAAAATATAGATTCACCCAGTCAAAGGTGTTAAAGAAATGTACAAAATGTGATCAAATGAGTTAAAGTACAGAGAAATATTGTCCCAAATATGTTGTACTAAGTCAACAATATGACAAAAACGTCCAAAATGTGATATAATATGGAAAAAATTAAAAGAAAAGTGTCCAGAAAATGATACATGAAGTCACAATTATGAGAGAACAAACCAACATTGTGAGAATGAGACACAAAATCTTGACTGACGGACTCAAAACTGTGACATAAATAAGTTAAAAGTATGACGGGATGTGTGGAAATTGAGTCTAAATTTTGACTTCTGTTTTCTTCAATGTCAGCACACCCACTTTTGCAACTATTTTGTTTTTCTTTGGGCTTCTTGACCTTGAAATAACCAGACAAATACATCAGAAGCGCCAAACTTCAGACATCTCCCCCCCCTCCACACAAACATCAGCCTCAGATAACCTCCCACCGGCTGCTTGCTTGTGCAGAAGCGCTGAAATGAGAGTGTAGGAGAAGGTCCAGAAACCAGCTGTGAGTGTCGCATTCCTGACTTCAGCCATAGGTCCCTTTCAACAAAAGTTTGACCTCTGCTGGCTTCGTCTATAAAAAGGGGCGCTCGCTGTTGACAAGGCAAGTATAACATGAAGGACGCAGGGGTTGAGGACCAGCAGCTGTCCCAACATTCAGGATGTGCTGAACAAAAAGTGCTGCCACTTTTTTTTTGCAACTTGGATGGCCGCAGGGTCATAGAAAAGTCAACAGTGAGCAAAATGAGAAGTGACAGTCATCTGTAGAGAGATTACTAAGATCTAAAATGATCTGGAGTCTGAAAAAATCCTCTTTTTTTGCATTTTATTGTCAAAATGGGAGGCAAATTTCAATTTTACGCATGAAAAAGTGCAGTTTAATCATCCTTTCATTTCAAAAGGGACCTCTGTAGAGAGCAGGGAAGGTGAAGGGTTAATTTGTGGCCGGGGAAACCTGATGCTAATTAAGTCTTAGGAATGCCACATACTGACATTGTAGTGCTGAAGCCCTCAGAGTGGGTCAGGCATGGAGAGAGCCAGCAGTAATGCGTGTGTCTAATGTTTGTACTCCTCACTGACAGTCGGGAAAAAGCCAGTCTCACCAAAGCCTGGAGCTGAAGGTAATGTTCTGTGATGAGCTGCGGATCTGGAGCTTCTGTGCCAAGTGTGATGAAGTTTGTCTCCAGGTGTGACACAGGAGAGATTTTTCTAAACCTTTAATCTTCTTCTTTTGCAGGATATTTTACGCAACAACAAAAAATGGTTTCGGTAACACCCGTGCTGTTGCTGCTTCTCTCCTGGGTGTCACTGCACAACGCGGAGGTTTGCCGGGGGACGCACTGCTACGGCGGGGACACCGGCGATCCAAGACCGTGCACGGGAGCGCACTGTCCGGGCGGCAGGTCCTCCAGACCTCCGCGGCAGTTCAACCCCAACGCGCAGGGCAAAGCGTCGAGCCAGCACCATGCGCACCCGGGCTCTCCAAGCTCTCCGTCCGTCCAGCTCCCCCGCGGCACACGCGTGAGAGCGCCTGAAGTTCTACCTGCAGGATGCACCGATGCGGACTGCGCTGCGCTATTGAGGCAATTTCAGCCCAGCAACGACACCCGGGAGTGCAGAGGGATCGAGTGCAGGCTGCCGCTGAGGATACGGCCGAAAGCTCGGGCGAAGTCCTGCGTGGGAGACGGATGTCTGGGCGGCTCGGAGGAGAGCGGCAGCCAGCTGCCTCCTCCTGTCCATCTGTCCGACAGAGCCGCGCAATTTCTGGGAGATTTTCCGGAGTTTGGATATCCGTCTTCGGAACTTGGCGGCGCGCCTTTGGGTGTCCAGCTCACGTGTGACATCAAGCCAGGTCTGCAACCTTCATCATTTGAATAAAAAAACGCTGCTTTAAGGTCGTCAGCTAATTAAGTTCTTCCGAATGCTGCATGCAAAAAACACTGTGCACAATCTTCTAAAAGAAAAAAGAAAAAAAGTTGAGTTATTACGTTGCACTGAAAGCAGCCAGTCTATAAATTAACCAAACACATATTACTCTCTGTTGACTTTAAGCCCCATTTTCCCACCAGTGATCAGCAAAAGGGTTTTTCTCTGGAGGCAAAGGACGACTTTGTTGACCTTCAGCTCACAAAAAAAAGATACCTGCAGAGCAACTAGAGTAGCTGGACTGGAAAAATGTCTCAGAGTCAATTGTCCAGAAAATTTTGAGTGCTTTGATGTGGGTCCATATAGGAAACTTTCAGTGCACTTGGCTGGGCTAAGCAAATAGGATCAGTGGGTGTTCACACTTGGCATTGTTGGGAGAATCAGAATCAGACTTAATGCCATTTATCTTTTCTTTAAAAAAAAAAACAAGAAATAAACTGTGCTGTCATTCATTCTGCAT